TCCACTACCAAACTTCTCACAAGATTATCTTCAATCCTGTGCTGTATCTATTAAGCTGAATCATATACCTATCACCATCGCCGCAGTTTACTGCCCCCCGAGACACAACTTATCTTCAATTCTTTTTCTCGACCATTTCTCATCATTTACTTCCAATTTCATAGTCGGTGGAGATTTTAATGCAAAGCATCAATCCTGGGGCTGTCGAACTGGCAACCCACGTGGCAATGTTCTACACAATTTCGTCAATGCAAAAAAATACTCAATTCTAGCACCTCCAGGTCCAACGTATTGGCCAACTTCTTTACGTGAAAAACCTGACATCCTTGATATTTTCATTGCCAAAGTACCAAGTAATTTAGTCTGCACTCCGGAAAACATCCTGGATTTAAACTCGGACCACTCATCTGTACTTCTGACAATCAATGCATCCCCAACATTACGTACGACAGCTCCAAAATTATTTTATCTTTCAACAGATCGTATTAAGTTCCATAACTTAGTAGATCAAGTGATCACACTGAACGTTAAATTAAAAACTCATGAGAATATTGATAACGCCGTTGATAAATTTACCTCAATCATTCAATCAGCTGCATGGGCATCCCAATCTAAGTCTACCACAACTTCCAATAGCATTCCATCTTTACCGATACACATACGTTCATTAATTACGGATAAAAGGAGAGCTAGGGCACGTTATCAAACTTCTCGTTTACCCTCCCACAGAGCACTTTACAACAAACTTTCTAATTCGCTTAAGAAACAACTTCTTAAATACAAATCAGACATATTCGAACAAAAGCTATCCAATTTATCCTCTTCTGACGGCAGCCTCTGGAGGGAAACAAATAAACTCCTACAATACAAATCTAGTTTACCACCTTTAACCAAAATTGACAATTCTATTGCTATAACTAACGAGGACAAGGCGGAGACGTTTCGTCAACACCTAGCGGAGATATTTAAGCCACATCCCGACGTAAATAATCCAAATCTCACCTCTAAGATTATCCAGTACTTAGATTGTCCCATGCCTCTTCATCTCCCTGAAAAGTGTCTTACACCAAATGAAATAAAAACAGCAATACAAAAATATTCCACCAAAAAAACACCAGGCTTTGATCTCATTACTGCAGAAGTTGCTAGATGTCTTCCGAAAAAAGCTATCCTATTCCTTACCTATTTATTTAATGCAACCCTACGGCTTTCATACTTCCCACTCTTATGGAAATTTTCAAACATAATCATGATTCCTAAACTAGACAAACCACCTGATCTGCCTTCCTCGTACAGACCAATAAGTCTATTACCTTTTCTAAGTAAGATACTAGAAAGACTGATACTTAAAAGGCTATTACCTTACATTTCTACGAACAAGATTCTACCTGACTCGCAATTTGGTTTTCGCTCAGCTCATAATACAATACACCGGGTACACAGACTAGTTGACACAATCTCGTGCTCCCTAGAAAACAAGCATTATTGCACTTGTGCCTTTCTCGACATTAGCCAAGCGTTTGATAGAGTTTGGTACGAAGGTTTACTTTTTACATTAAAAAAATTTCTGTCTCCCTGTTTATATTTTAGTCTTATATAACCAACCGCCATTTTCAAATCCGGTTTGGCTCCTCAGTATCCAAAATCGAGAAAATCTTAGCTGGAGTTGCCCAGGGCGGAATTCTCTCTCCCTTTCTTTTTAATATCTACACTTCTGATCAGCCTATCTCTCAGAACACTACTGTAGCTGATTACGCGGATGACAAAGCCATCATATAAATTGACAAAAACCCTATTACGGCCTCGGCAATTCTTCAAACTCATCTCAACCTAATGTCTGAATGGTACACCGATTGGCGCATTAAACCTAATCCCATTAAGTCAGTACACACAACATTCACTTTATGCCACTCCATTTGTCCAAATGTCTATTTAAATAACATACTTTTTCCCATAGCTGACTCAGTTAGATATCTTGGACTTAACTTGGATAAGCGCCTCACCTGGAATAGCCATATCCGTATAAAACGACTTGCCTTAAACGCCCGTCTTCGCAGACTACGAACGATACTCACAAATAACAAACACTCCAGCTTAAAAATTAAAGTTCTTATGTATAAAACATTACTCAAACCTCTTTGGACATATGGTCTCCAACTATGGGGCACAGCAAAAGCGTCCAATACAAACAAAATTCAGCAATTTCAAAATATTGCTCTTCGAAAAATTACCAATGCTCCTCCCTTTGTTTCAAATTACACTATTCATAATGACCTGTCAATAAAAACTGTAACAGAAGAAGCTATACGTTTCTACAAAATCTTTCATGCCCGGCTGCAAACACACCATAACCCACTCATTAAAAACCTATCCATCCAAACATTACCTGGCAACCCCAGGCGTCGATTAAAAAGGAGATGGTGCCGTGATTTGCTAGGGAACTAATTATCTAATTATCAATTATATAAAAAAAAAAAAAATTATTTGATAGTTAGCAAATATTATCCCACGTCAAACATAGTTCTACCGATTTTACCTAATGAATAATATACTTCTCATTATTATAATATTGCAATCTCGATTATTCGTTATGAGGTATTTTAGTTTTTCGATGCCGTATGGACGTTTATATTCACAAAAAATAAATAAATAAGTATGTGACGTTAATTAAACGCTTTTTGATAATTTCAATATATTAATAACATCTATTATACCTATAGCAAAGTTTCAACCACGAATGAATGAATTGCCATACCTTTTTACTGTAGAAATTGGTCACGTATGCACACCGAACGCTCACGCGTAACACGTTTTATATTGGTAAAATAATAACATATTTCCACGACGACGTGATTTGTTCAGGATATCGGTTCGGATGTACTTTTGCTTAATGGGAGTTGGCTGACGTCGTGAGGGTATCGTATAGTGATATTATAATTGTATTATTGACGTACATAAAAAAAAAAAATAATAATAATAATATCAGAATGATTACACGAGCCACTACCGGGACCAGTGCGGCTGCGGTGTAGTGTAGCTAAATTGCCTATCCAGGACGCCGCGTTACCATTATAATAACAATTAATTATTACATTATTGAAATGCTTAAAAAAAAAACAAACGAACGCGACTAATGAGATACGGAAAAACAAGGTCTCTGTGATTTGTGGTACACATTACGGTACGAAAAAAAGGATTAATCGGATCCAAAGCGTCCACTGCGAGTATATACCTAATAGTTTGATGCCAAGGAATTAAGTATGTTGTTTTCAATAAGAGTTATTATTAATAACCGAACGAATTTAAGCCTTCTTTAATTTTTTACCCGTCTTTAATTGGCGTAGTATTAAAATATATTCATCGAAATCACCAGTTTTTTTTATGATATACATTCTTTAAATACGGGAACGACGTTATCTGGGGTTGAATATTACTAAAGTGCATGCGTATGGTTACATTGATCAACGTAGCACATAGGTGGCAATTATGGGGGAAGGGAGGAAATTACTCTAGATTAACCAAAACCAAATAATTCCAAAACTTTCTAAAATAAAAATTATTGTTATTAATTATTTATTGTTTTAAAGAACCTAAACGATATGCATAAAGATATTTTTAAATTGGATTCTATATAGTTATATTGATCTATATTGTGGTCAATCATCTTTCATTGATTCAACAATTATCGTATACCAGAAAAAAAATTTTAAAGCTATTTAATTAAAGTTAATAATAGTTAAATACTGTTTTAATTTCTTGCTGTTATGGACATATTATTGTGCTTATTTATATTAACAACTTCCGTTTATATTATTTGTTTAAAATAGGTATTATCTATGAAAAACAATAAAACCCCGACCATGTAATGTATTACTGTAAGTTTTTAAAAAAAAAAATATATTATTATTATTAGCTGAATATCCCGGCTTTGCACGGTGTGCAGTTTTTTTTTGTTGCAAATCCTATAATATAGTATATACAGTATATACACTTTATAGGTGTATCTCGGTTTGAGTGTATCTCTGCTTTAGTGTTCCTCAGTTCACGGACTAATTGGCATCAGTGTACATAGTTTTGTGAAATAATTTGAACCATAGTTTTTTAAACTACTAACTCTCTAAACTTTTCTGACATCTCTAAAAAAAATAATGAGATATTCATCAAATTCAATTTAGGAGTTTTTGAGTATATGAGCTACACATTTATAAATATATATTATATAGTAAATAATAAATTATAGAGGGTCAGAGGGACCACTATTCAACATTTCAAGTTCGTACGTTTTGTAGTTTTTGAGATATAGCAACGAGTGAGTGAGTAAGCGAGTGAGTGGTATTTGGCTTATATAAATTTATAAGCAACTATGTAAAAACTATTTAAAAAATAATTATTGTTTTTCGTTGACCATGTCACAAATAAGTCTTACACGTATCACCAGATATTAAAGTGTTATATAGGCTAGAAATAGAAACCTACTCATTCATAACGAGTGTTCTCTGTTAGAAATTTGTACATAATAATAATTACAATAAGAATCATAATGATAGTAATAATAATAGTTTATTATAAAATTTAGGAATTTTTCCCCATACTCGCTCTACTCATCTGACCACTAGTTTTTTTCCAAAAAAATGAACAGTGTATTCATAAAAACTAAAAAATAAATGGTTAAAGTATGAGTAACTTTCATATTTTGTAGTTATGTAATAATTAATTAATTTTTTTTTGCCATATACCTAAATTCACCTAGATGATATTTTCAACATTAATTGTTTATAATAAACAAACAATTTAATAATACAATTATAATTTATAATAACACAGAGATAATATTATAATATGTATAAAGTGCCACGTATCGCAGTATTTGACAATATTATCTTTTAGTCTTTAGACTGAAGTAGTAAATACCTATATGGCTATATTACATTCAAATGGATCGTAATACATTTTAGCAGATATATCCTGCGTATATATTATTATTATTATTATATATTCACCGTTTAGGACGTGAACGGTGACGCTGGCTGAGTCGGAGGCGGAAGGAGCGCATGTATAGTTGCCAGTGTCGGGTGGCTGGGCCTTGGATATCAGTAGCCTGCTGGTCCGTGTCTGTTTCTCGGTCACCACGCTGATGCCACCGCGGCCTGAATAGTTTATGACGTCCCTGTCTCGGTACCAGTAGATGAAGGTGGGCGGGTCTGGCGTCTCCAGCACCACGCACGTCAGGTTTATGTCACTTCCGCTCCGGATGTACATTTCCGTGTTGCCGATGATCTTGGCCTTCGATACTGCAAACCCGAGAAATATATTATTGGATTTATTTTTATACACACCGTTGAGTTATTTAAGACGTTTATTCTGCACGTTTCAACACTCTCCCACCACCCCTCCACCAACCCACAAGCATATATATCGCGGTCGCCGCCGCCGCGCTGTCAACTGTCATATTATTCATACAATATCATCGACATGTGGTCAATAAAAAAGGTCTCAAGTCAGAAAAATATTATAAGGTTGTTTGTATGATTTTCAAAATAAGGGTTGTAATTGCTGAGAGTCTGGTGCCACGATCATCATTATTTGAATGATTAATTATTTCAGTGCGGATTGAATTACATTACAGAATCCTTATAAATTATAATAGGTATGAAACTCATTAATATTATTTTACACGATTTCAATGACTTCATCCGTGTGTCATTCAAATGCTTGACTTAGTTCATTATACTTAATTCATTATTTGTTTGACCTTAATCCATCTTATGCAAATCGATAGCATAATATATAACAATATAACATATTGTGTATTAATGAGTTACTTAAAATCATTATCACCATTATAACGTACAAGGTATAACACAATAACCTGAACAATTAAATAACTTAACTTGTTTTAATAAATATTTTAAAAACGTTTGAATACGCTTCTTAGACATTTAATAATTGAGAAGTCGGGCTCAGACAGCCATAACGATAACATGTGCGTTCCGTTCCGAAATGCGTTGCTTATCTAATCTAACCAATTGCCGTTAATTGAGTCATTAAGAACGCTGTAATGGCGAATATTGTATCACCAATTGTCATTATAAACAAGAACAAAATTCAAAAAAAGAAAACAGTAGAAAACTCGTCAAAGAGAGCTCTATCGTCAACTTCAACCAACTCACCAGACCATGAGGATAAAAAAAAAGCAAATTTTTTGTCTCGCCAAACCGATTCCAATCCCTGGCAACGGATAAAGAGGAAGAACAGGATAACGTCTTCGTCACAAAAGAAGCTCTACTCGTCACACAACCTAACGAATCCTCAACAAAACAAAGTAATGTTAAACTTCCGAATATCGTCCTAACAAACATAAACGATTTTAGCATAATACATAAAGATCTAACTCGCTTAGTGGGCTCTGAAGGGTTCACATGTAAAGCAATTAAATCTAATATTATCATATGGTCAAATACACAGGCCAACTTCATGGCTATTAAGTCATATCTAATAGAAACTGATCAGGAATATCATTCTTATCTCCCCCGTTCCTCCCAACCATTCCGTGTGGTACTACGCCACCTCCACCACTCCACTCCTACCACAGATATCATAACCTGTCTAAACGACCTCGGACATAAAGTAATCAGCATTACAAATATAACACACAGTGCGAACAAATTGCCACTTCCACTATTCAACATCAGCTTAGCTCGTAACACCAACAACCGTGAAATATTCAAAATCACCAAATTATTAAACTCAATAATAAAATTCGAATACACAAAGAGACAACTTGGTCCTCCCCAATGTCATCGCTGCCAAAAGTATGGACATACACGCAACTACTGCCGCCACAAACCGCGATGCGTGAAATGTGGAGCTGAACACTACACTGATAATTGCACAAAAAAACTGGAGGAACCAGCAAAATGTGCAAACTGTGGCGGAAACCACACGGCCAATTATAAAGGTTGCCAAACCTTCAAAAAAATATTAAGCCGCATCAAATCCAAAACCAAAACAACAAAAAGAGATAATCTACACACTCAAACTCAAGCTGTACCACCTGCACCCCACAGAAATGGGCATGATACGCTACGCTCAAACCCAAGAGAAAAACCCTCATATGCCGAAGCCACAGCAAATACACCACCATCCGATCAACTTCTCCAAATCGTCACAAGTTTCCTTAACGAGCTAAAATTAATACTAAACCCCCTCCTAGCTGCTCTAACATCCCTAATAAATAAATTTCCACTCCTCATCACTTCCACTCCTTAATTAACACACGTATCAAATTTACTGATCATCCATACCATATTCTAATTAAATTTTAAATTGTATTAATGTAAATAAAAAACTTGTAAAAACATGCAATATGTTGAAACATTTAAATTATAATAAATAAAAAAAAAAAAATAATTGAGAAATAATTAATCTCTAAAATATTACAATTAGGTACACAATAGTCGAATTGGCACAATTAGTAGCAATTTTTAGTAATAAAATATATTAGCTTCATTCGTATTTAAATGCCATAGTTGGAAATACTACGAGTATTACATTTTTATGCAATATATGAAAAATAATTGACTTAATATTTTACGCTAAAAAGCAGTTGTTTGTAGATTAGAACGTGTTTTAAAACCTCGAATTGTCAAAATGTGATGCGTACCATTTTGGCCACCTACCAAAGAGATATAAGCCTATCCTATATAGACGATTAACAGCGCCGAGGCTGTAGGTGGAAGCAGGTATAATATGTATATATTTACTATGTACATCTCATCGTGGCATTTTGCCCTGTATCGCATGTGTATATCATGTATGTGCGAGTTCGTGTGAAAGGGAGTGACAAAGAATGTGTGAGGTGCGGAGAAATGTCGGTCGTACTATGCGAGAAAACAACCACCGCTGTACCGGATTAGGGGTATTACACATTTTTGCGGGTACCTGTAGCCTCGGAATCAGCGGATTTAGGTGATTTTTGTCATTTTATATCGACAATTTAAGCCAACATACCTCGGAGCACCGAATACCGGAATACCTATAGCGTGGATTTTTTTTGCCGGAGTGGTGGGAGGGGGGGTATAATTTAGAACTCGATCTTGTCGTGCTTTGAATCGATAATATTTTTATTAAATATATTCAATGAGATCACGTTTTTGAAATCACGCGTTAGCTATTTACAATATTATTATTGTGATATAATATTATTTTATTGTTTATTGGATCGGGTAACGGCATAATATCACGAAATTCAACGAACAAAAAAAAAAAAAACAAAAACCCCAATTTCTACTGCGCTCAATATTATTATAATGATTATATTGTACCATATTATTATATTAACGAGGTGTATAAACCACGTGCGTTTAGCGCAACCTCTCCATAGCCGTTTCTGTAGTCGCCTTTGTTGTATCTTATGTGCAGGTACTGCTTATATTATTATAATAATATATACATTGAGGCAAATTTCTCAGCCTCAGGCGTATTAAAACCGACGCAGTAATGATAGAAAATCGAATACTTGTCGTGATAAATAGAAGAAAAAAAAAACAATTATCTTGTGTTTGCCCACAGGGAGTTTTTTTTTTACGAAAACTCTCGTATATTTGAAAAAAAAAAAACATCTTAAGAAAAAAAATATAAAATAAATGAAAATCCCCTATACACAGACGTAATAAATACTGGTAAAAAATGGTTGAGAGAATCCAGATAGTCTTATCTACCTTAATCGAGGTAATATACCTAGCTACATTTAATCGTGAGTTTTTAATTATTTTCATAAAGTTTATGGTTTTTAATAAGCTGATGTCGTTTTATGTCTGTGTACTGCACCTGTTGGCATATTACTGAGAATGACATAAGTTATGGACATAGAGTCATGGGCGGTCGCAGACTTTTGCTCCAGGCGCACATAATATTATACACTGACATTATAGTAAGAAATGGGTAATTTCTCGAATCTTTTAAATTATTCCCATTAAGCTCCGAATTTTTTCTTTGTTAAAAGGGTTAAAAACGGTTATTAAGATATTTTTTTTTTGTATGCCTTACACATGGATGGAACATCATGTTTATCATCTTCACCCAAGGCACTCTACTGCATTAATTAGTATTGTTTTAACAAAACATTATGGCAAAAAATATGTGACGAGAAAAAAAATGGTAAAACTTATGATTTTTATTTGATGTTAAAATAGTTCTATTTTAGCTCGGTAAAAAAATCAAAACATACAAATTATAGCTTAAGTTAAAATAAGGAAAAACTATCAATAAAATATATCTAAAATCGACCCTTTGAAAAATTAAAACATTGTTTAAGTTATAATACTATAAATAATAAAGCACAATACATTATTAATCAGTTATTTTGTGTTACCTAGTTAAATAACTCATTAGTTGGGAGTAAAATATAAAAGAAGTACAGCAGACATATCCTACATTACATAATACTATTTGATGTTGGTACTCTTAGAACATTATAAAAGAATAAACAATCAAAATAATATCTGAATATGTATATTATTATTATAATCAGTGTTTCTTGATTATTATTTATAATACTTGCCAACGTTCTGTAGTACCTACTGGCGTAGCAGTTTGACCTTTATGTTTATTGTTCGTATAATGTGTTTTTTCTTGTTTCACATATTATAATGTAAATACAATGCCGGATGCAGCCTCTAGCTATGCTGCATAAACTGCAGCTTTGCGACCGGCTACGCGAAAAGTACATTAAAGTACTTTGTTATTCGCTTAATTGAAATCATGATCAAGGCCTGTATTTAAACAGGCATATTTTTATTCTGTTATTGTACTAGTAGGTATGTTTGGTCTGGTGTGTAAATCTTTAATGTGTTCTACGACATGGTTTTATAATTAATAAATTATTTTAGAAGAGCAAAGTGATAAAACAAAAGTAAAATAGAAAAATAAAGAGGTAGAAAAACGGTGCAGCGTTTTAACATTTGGTAGGTCCCCTTATTTACTCACTGATACAAATTTCATTGCTAATATAAGAGAACCAATATTGTGTTTACCATTGATTTAAAAGTTTCATTAGTACTTTATATACGAACGGAATTCGTGTAATCACGTGGTAAAGTTAAACTTTTTGCCAACGGAAACTTGACAAACACTTAACTGTGGGTCGAATAAAAAAATCATTGGAATTATTCAGAAAAACAACATACCTATAGTCTATACTTATACTTGCATACTTGTTTCAACAGAATTCACTATCCGTGTAATTAAAATTAATTTGAACGAACTGATGGTATAGTTCTGACTAAAGGTT